TGTTGATGGAGATTACCACCTTCGCGCAAATCGACGCGATCAATTGTGTCAAGTGGGGTATCGGTTAAGACGCGTGCGTCTTCAATAGTTGCAAAAGCGATTCCGGTTTTCCCAACAAGCGTTGCCACTTCACTGTCAAAGGCGATTTTACCGGGGATGTAGGTTTTCCACGTCTTTCCACCACTTGCGGATATGGCGTTAACGAAGTTGGATTTTCCGCCGAGTCCTGCGATTGAGATGAGGGTTTTGATGTCCTCAATCTCTTCCTCAGAGAAGGTGTCTGGATCCTCGTGCCGGAGTCGGAGCATTGTGTCGAGTTGCTCACGTGTACGGATACTGTTCTTCCGATTCTTCTTTGCGGTGCGTACATCGTTTCGGATGAAGCGCTCCACCTCTTTTCGGATATAATCCATATCCTTAAGCATATCCTCAGAAGGCTCGCCTTGATTGCGCCACTGCTCAAACTGCATCTTCATGAGTCGGCTCACACCGCTGAGTCCACTGAGTTTGTTGAAGTGCGAACTGAGTAGGGTTTCAAGGGTCTTTCCTTCGAGTGCGGTTTTGTTGGAAATCCCATTTGCGACCGTCCATTGGCGTGCCATAACGGCCTGTCGGATCTGGTCATCTGTCCATTGCCAAAGTTTTCGTATACGGACACCGAAGTCGGCATCTTGGGCGTAGGTGGCGAGTTTATTACCGATACTGGCAAACTCACGACGCAGTACAAATTCGGGTTCTTGGTCGTAGAACCAACCTTTATTGAAAACACCGAACTGATTCGATTGAGACGAAAGATCAATACTAATATAGAGTGAGGTATAATAGCGGTTGAATAGGTCTTGGAGGGCGGTAGATGCTTCAATCTGCCCAAGCTTCCGATTGTACTCGCTGGTATCAATACGCAACATCTTTTCAATACGACTCTGGATGTTGCGGAAGCGGGAATTTCGGAGAGTTAGCATGTTATCACGTAGGAGCGTCTTCGTCTCTTCATCGAAATCTGAATATAATGTCGGAAGACGCTCAATAAGATTTTCGAGTGCTATGATGTCTGTATTCGCTCGTTTCTTGACGATTGCTAACAGTTCTGTTTCGTTAATCTGTAATGAGATGCGTTTGCGTAACGCGAGTGCCTGTTCCACCTCATCGTTTGATAGATAGTTTTCCAAGATGAGGTGTTCTTCAGCCAAATATTCGCGTCCTAATGTTCCTGAAGTTGCGATCAAATTCTGGATACGTGTTCGCTCCAACCTTGCATTCCGAAGGGCGATTTCAAAGATACTCTGTTTGTCTTTGAGTAGATCAGCTATCAGTATACCGGGGTCAACAGTGTTCTCGGATTCGGCTAAGCGTTGTCGGAGCTGGGTATCAATAGTGTTTAGCCGTTCTACACCGGCTTTCGATAAGAACTGCCCACCGTAAATCAATTTATCGGGTTCTTGTGACAATGCTGTTTCCTTGAGTTTCCGAATGCTTGCCTTAATTCCATCTTCAATAGGCTGGCTATCAGAGATTTGTGAAAGAATCTTCTCAAGTAGTTGGGTTTCGCGTTGGATTGCCACTGCTTGGGTGTTGGTGGCATCGCGTAAAACGCTACGTGCCTCTTTCATCTTATTAAGTCCGTGCAAGTCGAGATGTCGGTCGAGTACTTTTTCAGGGGTCCACATCAGGGCAAACTTACGTTTGTCGCTCATCTCCCAGTTTGCGAGGACTTTGTTAAGCATTTCGATATCAGGGACGAGTTCTTGGAGGAGATCTTCAGGAACAGGTATATACCAGTCCGAACCCTGTTGTACAGGCAGAAGATATGCGTCATTTGGGTGCTTGGCATATTCGTCAACAGCACCTGTTTCCACAGAACGAATGAGCTTATCCACCGCCCATATATCAAGGCGGGCTACCGGCAAAGCCAACTCCACAAGTAATTCGTGCTGCGCTTCTCGACTTGTGTTGAGTGCTTTGGTGCGTACTTCAGCTAACCTTTTAACAATGTCTCGGAGGAAGTGTGTTGTTTGTAAAGCCTCTTTCTTTGAGCGGGCAAGGTTTGCTAACAAGCGACTCTTCTCTTCACCGGTAAAACCTTGCTTCTCTCGTTTTCTGTTTCTATCTGCCTGCTTCTTCTGACGCTCTGAGAAGTCGCGCTGCTGATTCGTGAGACCTTCGATTTCAGAGCGGGTTTTCGCCAAGCCATCAAGTGTTGTGCTAAGCGATTCGAGATCAGCCTTTACCTTGTGTATACCGTGGAAGAAATCGCCGGGGAGATCGACGAGCACGCTCCGATCAATAGAGAGTAGGAGCCTTCTGCCCAATGCTTCAAATTCCATGATGTCCGTAGAGAGTCCACGGCGGAGCCCGTGCATTGTCGGTGTACCGGGTGAGTCTGTAGCAGTCCCGACAATATCCTGCCCGATGCCTTCCATGAAGGCACGCATGCCAGCGAGTCCTTGGAAATGACCGTCAACTGCGACAAAAAGGACGGAGTAGCCTGGACGATATTGTGGCTGACTAAAGAGGCGCGCGAGTTCCATCATGGTTGCGATCCCGCAAGTCGGATCTGCGCCAGGTGCCATTGCTGGCACAACAGACATAGAATCGTAATAAGCGGTGACGACGACGAGTTCATCGCGTAGTGTCGGGTCTCCACCCTCCAAAAACCCGCGTATATTCTGTCCGACGCGGCGTTCCCAAGTCATTTAACCCCTGACCCGGACATCGACTTGATTGCCTTGCGCGTGCTGTTCTTCAAGCAAATTCGTGAGAACGTCAGCATCTTCTTTAGAAATCCAAAACCGCGGTATGTTGGCGGGGACGGTACCAAACTTGTTTTCGGCTTCTCCGCGAATGGTTGTTTCAGGTTGGATGAAGATGACAGCGGTGCCACCGAGCATTGCGGCGTTGATGTAGCGTGTACTGGAGTTAAAGTCAAGGAGTACGATCGCGCCTTTCGGGATAAAGATATTTGATTCGCTGGCGGCGACGAACTCGCCAGACTCATCAATTTGTCCATCGTTGTTGTTATCAATGCCATCAGTTGCATCACCCAGCATTTCATCTGTCCAACCATCGGCATCATTATCAATGCCATCAGTTGCCCATCCTCGAATTTCAGAGAGCAACGGGATCTCACCATATTCATCAATAGTGCCATCTTCATCGTTATCAATGCCGTCGGACGCTTTTTGTAGGTGTTCATTAAGTATATCGTCGGTGATGCTGGATTCAGTGATACGATAGCGTCGAGCGAGCGTTGTGAGAGTATCTCCATCTTGGAGTTCATGCCAAAATCCGCCGATGTTGGTGCCGTTGAAATCAGCGAGTTCGCCATCATCAGCGTAAAGGAGCGGACCGGATAAACCACCTGTCGGAATAAACACGGTACTCCCTTCAACAACAGGGGTTGCCAAAAATTCGTTTCGGTTGTCTGCAAGGATAGTCGCTTCGTCAACTTGGTAACTTTCGGCGATGTCTTGCAGTGTTTCCTCTGCTAACACGATGTGTTTAATCGCATCTGCTAACAGTGAAGTGCGCACAAGGTTGGGCCAGAGCGGTGTGAGTTTAAAGGCATGTAGAACAGCGTCAGGCGAGAGGACCTCAATGATACTATCACCATGGTCAATCGGTACAGTGACGGGAAACTCTCGGCTTTCCACGTTTTGTAAGCCTATTCCAACGAATCGGTCAAAGATGTATTTGCTGCCACTTGCGGCTTGGGGATAACCCGTTACACGGCTATCAAGGCTTGACAGACGCGCGATATCCTTCCGCATGTTGCCGATAGAGAGGTCATCCCGGATCTGGATAGCGGCAGTTTTCATGCCGGTACTGGAAACCGTTTGTGCATGCACGGGATGGTGCAACAGGATAGCCAACATCATAGAAAGAGAAAATGTTAATACACTTATTAGGGCAGTGAAGTGTCGCGAGAAATATTTGCGACGCCTACGAATTCTCATATTGTAAAGTCTCCCACCTTTTCTGGTTTCTCACATTTCCCACAATAACACATTAACAGATTGGGGTATTTTGCCGAGGGTGCCTATAAAACCTACAAAGCCACATTGTGCGAATCGAATCCGCCATCGGTTTGTAATATGGAATGTGACCTACTGATCCTTTTCTTCTTCTTATCGACTCGGCATCATTAGCTTCTCCAAATATCTGCTTTTCGGAGTCTTTTATAATATAATCTTGGCAATAATTAGGTACATTCTATACTATTACTGTAATTTTTGTCAAATTAAAATTTGCATTTACGGTTTTTTTGGGTTAAAATATAATTCACGTCTTCGTCTCTCCACTGCAGCAGATAATAAATAAAACTGCACCTCACAACAATTATGGAAGCGATGCCAAAATTACAAAAGAACTCAGAGGCAGTTCAACGATGCCTGCCTGTCTGAGCAAAAGGAGTCACACGTGAACCAAGACCCGCAAAAATCAAAGGTTGATAAAGTCGTCTCACGCATAAAAATGCGTCGTCGTGAACTGAAATTGACGCAAACGGAACTCGCTAAGGAAGCGAATCTAACGCCTGCCGCAATTTCGCAATTTGAATCGGGAACTCGCAAGCCCTCGTTTAAGACACTTTCCAGCCTCTCTGACGCTTTAAAAGTTACCACCGACTATTTACTCGGAAAAGCAGAGAAAAGCCACAATGATCTCTTAGCCGACCCAAAGGTCAATGCCATGTTCAAAGGAATGATGAAATTTACAGAGAAAGACAAAGAAACGCTCTATGAGTTCTATGAATTCCTCAAAACGAAAGCAGAAACACAGGCGGCATCAAGAGAAGAAACATCTTAGGATACGGAGTAGGGTCCTACGCATTAAACGAGATTCAGTCGTTGCGCGAGGATGCGACTTTAGTATAGAAGATGGACCCCAATTTATCTTTGCTTAGATCTGTACATTCCTGGACGCATTGCCTGTTTACGTTGCTTCAAAAGGGTTTGGTGAGATTTACACAGTTTTATTTAGGGCATTATAGGGTATGTACCGTTCTAAGCATTGACTAAAATCACCTTACCGAAATTTTGACGGTTCTCTAACAATGAATGCGCCTCGCCGGCACGGTGGAGCGGCAAAGTCCGGTCTATAATAGGCTCCAATTTTTCTTGTGCAGCGAGATGGACAAGCGTCCGGAGCTCAGTTACTGTGCCGAGTGCGGAACCCATTACGGTTAGCTGTTTCTGATACAATTTTCGGATGTTAATTGTCCCGATGTTGCCTGTTGTAACACCACAGGAGACGAGCCTTCCATTTTTAGCCAGACTGGCAATACTTTGCTCCCACGTCGCAGCACCGACGTGTTCAAGCACAACGTCCACCCCTCGCCCGTCTGTTGCGTCAAGCACAACTTCTGAGAAATCTATGTCTTTGTAGTTAATCGTAATGTCTGCCCCCATCTCCCGTGCGCGTGCGAGTTTCTCATCACTACTTGCTGTCGCCAAGACTCTTGCACCGGTCAACTTTGCGATTTGTAGTCCCGCGCTTCCGACACCACCACCTACCCCAAGAATTAAGACATCCTCCCCAGGGCGAAGCTGGGCACGTGTCATCAGCATGTGCCATGCCGTCAGATACGCAATCGGCATCGCAGCGGCATTAATGAACGAGAGGGTCTCTGGTATCTGAATCGCGTTTTGGGCAGGTACTTTCACATATTCTGCGTACCCACCGTTGGTTTGAAAGCCGATGAGTTCCTGCGTGTCGCACAAATTTTCGGCACCGCGATGGCAGTCACTACAGACCCCGCACGGAATACACGGCGCGAGGACAACCCGTGTGCCAACTGTAACACCGCAGCTCGTATCACCAACCTCAGCAATTGTTCCGGCGATATCGGATCCGAGTATATGCGGGGTGTCTCCTCGACTGAGTTTCGCTGCGATCTCCGGTCGGTTGCGCCGGGCATGGATGTCCAGAAAGTTCACTGCACAGGTTTCGACTTTAACAAGTACCTCGTTAGCGTCAAATGTTGGCTCCGGTACATCTGTATACCGAAGTACCTCCGTGCTGCCCTGTTCTGAGAAAACAATCGCTTTCATGTTAACTTTCAGCTTTCAGCAACCAGCGGTCAGTAGGCGAGATTAGGTAACCTCGCCAGCGTTGGTGAAGTGTTTTTGTTTGTAGGACACGGGTACAGAACCATCTCATTAACCAAAACCATACGTATGAGATACGGTCTACAAACTGAACCTACAGTGGTGAAGGAACACGGAAATTAGCCGTATGCACCGTGATTGAGGAAGCCGAGTAATCGGCGTAAACGGGGACTCGCGTCTTTGTAGACAGAATCCGGCATATTGTAGTTCATAAACGGATAATATTTATGCCCGACGAGTCGGCGTGCGTAAGTCACCTGCGTGATATATCGGATACGGTCGCTCTGGTTAGGTCCCCCGCGATGCCACACTTGATTATTGAACATGATAACGCTGCCCGCTTTGCCAAGATTATACTGAACTTTTTCTTCCCACTCTGTTCCTTCTATCGGATTCGGCGGTGATGCACCAAAAAGATGTGAGCCCGGGACAACTTCTGTCCCACCGTGTTCCATCTCAGTGACATCGGTGAGGTAGTAATTCGCTGTAAAGAGTAGCACCGGTAGCCGTACGTTTTTGGGGGGTTCGCCCTCCGTCACGATATAGTGCAGTGCGTCGTCTTGGTGCCAAGACGTAATACCGCCGCCTGGGAACGTCTGGAACGAATTGTTGTGAATAACGTGGCAGTTTTCCGCGACAAGTGCCTCAGCGAAGGAAACAATCGGTTCGAGTTCAAACAATCGGCGATTGGCTTCGCTGTGTTCAAACATTCGATGGCTCAAGTGCATGCGACCTGCCGGGCTTCCACCATTTAGACTATTTGGGTCGTTTTCCAGTGCCCACTCTAAATCCTGTCGAAGCTGCGCACATAGATCAGCGGGCAATACATTTTGCAGAAACAGGCAGCCTCGTTGGTTGAAAGTCTCAACCCATTCCTGTATTTGTTCATCACTGACAGCCTGATCTGCCAAATAGGTTGTTTGTGACATTGTTCTATCTTCCTTCGTTTTTTGCGCGTAGATATAGATAAATACAGTCTCGTCGGTTGCGGGCGCGATTTTCACCGCGCCTTTCGTGAGGTGTGCATGTTCAGTGTCGCTACAACGACATTTCTATCCACCCATTGCAGCGGCGACGATAATACCAAGTGATACCAGGACACCTGCAACCGCTATACCCGCAGCTGTGTTGTTCTCTTCGGCAATCTGACGATTTAGGTCGTACGGAGTCGCCAAATCGAAGACTTTGTAGCCTATCATCAGAATTATTAAACCGACGACGCTAAAGACAACGCCTTCAACGATAATACCGCCAAGGACTTTGAAGTCCACTATCGATGCAGCTTCGGACGCGGCCGCGTCAGCTTGGGCACTCGCATTATGTGTAAACATAACGAGCGCAACAATTGCCACGGTAACCAGAACGAACGTGGTGAAAACGATTTTTTTAGCCATTTTATAAAATCTCCTTATCATTTTGGGCGGGACCTATGAGAGATCTGCCCTCGCGTGTATCTGCCTTAATGGAACGGCACACGGCGTGTGCCTACTCCTATGTCAAGAGATCAAACTGCACATCTGCGGTAGGATGCAGGTACTTTACCAATATGGCATCCTTATCTTCAATATAGAACCATCCAGATTCAACATCTTCAAGCGTTTGCACACCCAGAATCTCAGTTTCTGCGTATTTGTTTAGTAAGTTGGCAGTTTCAGAATCGTTCGGAGGTGCCTCCGTATCCGGGCTTGGAGCATCATCCGAAGGCGATGCGAACTGGTAACGTGCCCGAAGCGTTTGTGGGGCGCGTCCGCGACCAACAATGACAGAGTAACTCGTCTCGTTCTCGACATAACTGAGCTGCCACTTCAGTTGACCGTTGTCGGTTAGCGTGAGCGCATCTACCTTCGCTCCCGAACTCAGGTGTATATCACCAGCGATAGCGGTTTTAATACCCGGATCGAGCCCTCGGAGCGCATAAACGTTAACCATAATATCCTCAGGATTTAGATGCGGTCCCTTGCCTTCGGTACAGAAACCGTAGAATCCATCAGGATAAGTGCCTTTGAGTTCACCGTCTTCCCATTGCTGGTACATCGCGCTTATAGTAATGCCTTCAGCAATTTGATGCCATCGCTCATCCTGGGTGTGTTGATCCAAACGTTGTAAATAATAGGCAAGCACCAATCCATTCCATTGGACAGGTACACCAAACCAAGGGTGTGTATAGAAAGTCGTTCCGAAAACCGGAATTGAAGCGAAATGCATGCCGGGTCGGTCAGGCAGATGCCAATGGTATAGAAACGGTAGTGCAGTTTCTGCCCAATACATTGCCCGCTTGAGGTGCCCTTTCTCTTGGGTAAGTTCATAGGCTTCAACATAAGCCCCGATTGCGTGTGCAGCTGCGAGAACATCTGGTTGGTACATCGGGCATTCCCACATTTGTGCGCCGCGTGGCAGCGAGAATTGCTTCATGAATTCAAGTGCCTTCAAACCCGACTCACGCGAGGTTCTGTTTCCGGTAATCCGCGCGTGTTTCAGGAGTAGAAGTGCCGATTCTGCACAGGTGCCGAGTACCGCTTCACCTGCTTTTCCGAGGATAGCAGTTTTCTCGTTTGTCGGATGCCACCGCCAACTTCCATCCGATTCTTGCGTAGCGATGCGTTGCTGCATTTCTGCTTCCATGTAAGCTAACGCGGCATTAAGACTGCCGATATAGAACGGGAACTCCCATCTCAAGATGTGACAGGAACCCCGTGCCGCCAAGCCTCCTGGACCAGCATCGGCTACGGTATTACTTATAATTTCCAGCACCCGTTCCTTGATCTGCTCATCTTTTGTAGCGAGGTAGTCGTACCAGAGCAGGGTACCGAAACCGGGTTCGTTGTGCGCTGCCCAATCAACACAATGACGGGATTTTCTTGTATTTTCGTCCCATGTCGTGTGCATAAATCCGTGCCGTGAAAGCAGTATCTCTTCTTCATCACTACGAGGCGGTTGCAGCGGTTCAGGGGTACCATAAGCGTCCGTCCAGTGTGCCACAGCGTCTAAAATAGAGGCATTTCCATCAACAATGATTTCGGTTTTGATGGATATCGGACGCGACGATATCAGCGGGTAGGGAATAGAAGCCTCCGTATGATTCTCCTGAACCCACGTCGGTATCGTCGGTAGGAACACACCAAGTGCGTGGTTTTTCTGACGCTGGTGCCAATTCGGTGAGGCGAATATCGCAGAGAGCATCTGGTTTTCCCCATCCCAAGTTTCCAGCGGATTCCAGATAATACCGACGAGCGTCTTTTGCATCTCCACCGCCAGGACCGGCACCGTAATTTTATACGGATGCGGTACGAGACGGTTGTCAAGTGGAGGCGCTGCATCACGCGCGCTTGAAGAGCGTTCATCACCCTCCAAGAATTCAAGTCCAGGGAAGAGTGCTGCTGTCTTCTTTTCGCGATTCCGTCCTTGCCCGGCATAAAGCACCGGACCGCGGAAGGCGAGAAGTTCTCTGTTGCCATCAGTTTGTAACTGACATTCTGTTTTAATCCGTTTTGCATCTTCAGCAAGCGTCCACTGCATCTCATAGTTCCACGCCACACCATCAGCATCAACATCTGCACCGCTTAGCCGGATGGTGGATTCGCCGCGATCGTTCCCCGCAAGTTGATAGGCTGTAGGAACAAGTTGGACAGTTTGGCGGTTTTGTGACGCATCAAGGTAGGTAACCTCGGAGAGTGCTGGACAGGTTGCCACCTGTTGATAGTTGCCACCTTTCGCGACAGATAGCACATAGTATTCAAAACCACGATCCGTAGATTTTTCGTTGAGACCAGTAGTGTCTTTAACTTCTCCGTTATCAGTTTTTTGTGTCGCTTCAGGTCCTCGAACAAAAAGGATACGAAGATTTTTATTTCCCATTACAACACTACCGTCTTCCGCCGTGTAGGTGTGCAGTTCTTTCACCACTTTGGATTCAAGTTTGGGAGATGCAGGACGAATCGCAACACTGCCTTGAACTGTGTCCCGCGCTTCACCGGCTGCGGTTTGGCATTTGAGCGAAACTGAGGCAGTTGCTACAGTCGGTTGTGGAAAACGACGCGCTACCCAGAAAAGAGAAGTTTCTTCGCCCAGTTCAAGCTCTCTAACTGTTTGTCTGGGGCGTCCACGCCTTAACTTCACACCGCTAATAGAGATTCGGACATCGTCCGTCTTACCGAGCGGCGCGGTGCCGGTATTCCGAAGGGTACATTGTACCTCAAAGTCTTCACCTGCAGCAACGATAGCGGTTGTTGCACCGACACTTACAATCTCTAATTTGGGTAGTGCTGTATAAAGCGATATTTTGACGGGCGGTTCTTCTGATTCTATGGATTCGATGCAAAAGTCGGTTAGCGCGGAAACTGCTGTTGATGTAGGTTGGTTGAATTCAAGGAACTGTGTCCTTTCATCGCTGAAGTGTAGGATCGCAATGCCGCATCGGAGTTGTGGTTCCGAATCTCCTTTCCCTGTTCGGAGGGAAGTCTGTTTGAGTTTACGTAACTGCGGTTTGCCCCATAATGCCCAAGCATAGTTGCTATTGCCCTCTACGTTGCATTCCGTCAAAAATGATACGACGATCTCTTTACCTGCATAGTGCGTCAGATCAACCCCTTTTTCCGCCCAACGACACTCCGTAGACACCGATTGAAAATATCTGTTTGGTGCGGCTTCTAAACCTACATTATTCTGAAGGTCGAAAACTTCAATAGCGAACTTTACGCCACCGGGCTGTCGCGCCTCGTCGTCAAAGACGACACCGTCCCGCAAGCCGATGGAAAAGTGTAAGAAAAGTTTTTCTTGGCCATTAACATCGGGAAGTGAGAGGGTATAGTCGATTTTCGCGGTTTCTGTTGGCGTTGGATGTTCAAAGATCGCAGATTTTGTAACACCGCCTGCGCAATCTGTTCCGCTCACAGATGCCTGCTCTGTCCCAGAAACAGTGCTTTGTCCAAACATCTCCACAAAGT